TGCTTTAACAGGGCTGGTTTTAAACCCTTCACATTTAACCAGGACAGGAGAGGGAACCGAAGCCGCCTGAGTGCTACAAAACGTCACGCGATACCTAAAGGCAGACCTGCGGTGCGAGCACCTCCCGCCAGCCCGCAGCAGGTCACAGCGCAGAGGCCGGGTCCCTGCGCCCGGCTGCTCGGGGAGCCCTTACGGCAGCCGCCGGCGGAGCCCCAGTCATCGGTTTGCTACTGCTGGAGCCCAAAGAGGAGAAAACACGGTGCCTGAGCGGTAACGACGAGCAGCAGGAGCACGGCTGGAGGAGACGCGGTGACGCCAGGCACAAGAGGGACTGGCTGCTTCGGGGGGAGCAGCTCATTTTTATAAGTTTCTTTATAAGCACCCTCAATCTTTTTTTTTTGCTGTGTTTCTTCTAGGTCCCCTTTACTCACTCGCAGTAGGGCTTGTCCGTAACTCACGTGTGCGCGTAGATACAAACAGACTTATCTCCCCCTCCGTGTCCAGCCCTATCCATCAAGCATTTGTAAATGGCATTTTATGAGCGCCGAGTTTTTAACAAGGCAGGCACGCTGCTCGGGAAGCGAACAAAGGGGCCCCTATTGGAAACTTTAAAGATGTTTAAACAAAGACTTCTCTTGAAAACCTTTAACCCCTAATGCCAACCTCAAGGGAAATGCTATGTTATGAGCAATCGGAGCACAAACATCTTCTGTGACCGCAGATTGCCTACAACGGGCTGCCTTGTTGGCTTCGTCTTTTCTGTCGGCTGCCGCCGCCAACAAGGGCAGCTCCCGAGCCCATCTTGTACTAATCACAGAAAACGCCTTTAATTCTTCAAGAAAAAAGCAAGTTACAACTTCCACAAAAATCAACAGCAGCTTTTTCCAGTCGGATGCAGCGATACCCTGCCTGCTTCGATGGAAAGTGGCGTTTCTGTACAAGCACCAGGGTCTCTTGCGTGCCCTCCAGACGGGAATCTGTATTTCGGATGAGGCCAAATTTATCCACATCCTGGTGGCAAATATCAGGGCTGAGATCCGGGAGCAGAGTGCCCCCCCCCCCTTTTTGCTGATATCAAATGCCAATCGAATGAATCCCTGCAGAGATCACAAGAATCTGCTTTCCACTTGTTACTGAGAACCTGCACGCTCGCCGCCTGGGATTAACTGCTCCCGCTCTTGGAAAAAGGAAAAAAAAAATCATCTTTACTATCAAGAGATGCCCGATAGATGCTGTGTCCCCCACAGGGAGGATTTCATAGTAACTTTATAAATAAACTGGGCTTGACTGAAGCACGACTCCCGCGGGTTTAGGCAGAGGAGGTGAAGTTGTGCGCCTTGTCTCAGAGTCAGGGCTCTGAAGAGGCTCCTCGCTCGCAGCCCCCTTCCCCCCAGGCCCACCACACACGCGGTGGCTTCCTTCGGAGCGGGACAGGCCCGTGGCCCGGCCAGCGCCCTCACCAACGCCGGTTCCCGCTCGGCACCGCTGCCTCCCAGATGGATTCGGCAGCTCCCTGCACGGCGGCAAGGGCTGTCCGCGCAGCGAGGGGGAAAACCCCGGCGGCGCACGTCCCACTGCACCGTCTATCTGCTCCGCTCCACTTACCTCGGACGGCTGCGTGTTAGCACAGATACGATGAGTGCAGAATAATCTGATTTTCCAAACAAGTTTTCCCATGTAATTGCTTGGAACAAAAGTGCCCAAAGCTAATTTTTCCCCGTGCAATGGTTGGAATTATAAGCCAAAGGTGGGTGATTGCTTGTGCAAACATATTTATGAGTACGCGCAGACCCAATTTTCCAGTCGTGCAGAAACAGTGCATAACAAACTTCGGGCGCACTTTTAAGCTTATCTTTTTGCAGGATCTCGAGCCCCTGTTGCTCAGTACGCCTTGCCCAGGTGTACCAGGCCTCATTATTCTCTGCTAAAAGAGATCCTCGATTGTGTAAGCAGGAACCTGCCCGAAAGCTAGGCAAAAGGTGAGCGGAGCAGGCAGGCAGCAAACTGCGCCGTCCCGACAGCGGAGAGGCGTTCACGTCCTCCGCGCAGGCACCGGAGGCAGAGCGGGGTACGGTGCCCGCTGGCTACCCCCAGCCCCGTGCTCGGGAGGGCAACCGCTGGCCCTGCTGCAGGGGGCCAAGCCCAGGCGGCCGGGGGGCTGCGGGAGGGCCCCAGCCCGCAGCTTTGGGGAATAAAACCCGTGTCAAGGGCTCTGCTCTTCCTCCCCCCGCCCCCGGCTTTGCTTTCTGCCCGTCGTGCCCAGGACGGCCGCTGCCCTCCCTGCCAGCCCCGCTCCAAGGAAAAGCCCCCCCGAGGCTGCCAGCCCCCGCGGCAGCGCTCGGCGCCGCGCACAGCCTCGCAGCTCAGCCCCGCCCGGCCGGGCCGGGGCCGGGCTCACCCCCCTC